CAGGTGGAGTAGATGCCAGGAAATAATCAAACTGAGGGCTGAAATCAATAAAGTAGAAACTAGGAAAACAATACAAAGAATCAATGCAACGAAGCGGTGGTTCTTTGAGAAAATCAACAAGATAGACAAACCTTTGTCCAAACTTACCAAATGGCAGAGAGTTAACATGCAAATTAACAAAATCAGAAATGAAAAGGGGGACATAACAACGGACTCTGAGGAAATCCAGGGAATCATCAGGTCATACTTTGAAAACCTGTACTCCACAAAATTTGAAAATTTAAAGGAAATGGATGACTTCCTGGATAGCTATCACTTGCCAAAACTAAATCAAGAACAGATAAGCAATTTAAATAGACCTATAACCCCTGTGGGAATAGAAGCAGTCATCAAAAGTCTCCCAACCAAAAAAAGCCCAGGTCCAGATGGTCTCAGTGCAGAATTATGCCAGAAATTCAAAGAAAGCTTATACCAATTCTTCTCAAAGTATTCCACACAATAGAAGCAGAAGGGTCTTCGCCAACTCTTTCTATAAGGCTTCAATAACCTTGATTCCCAAGCCACAAAAAGACACAACTAAGAAAGAGAACTGCAGACCAATATCCATCATGAACATTGATGCAAAAATACTCAATAAAATACTGGCAAATCAGATCCAAGAACATATCAAAACAATCATTCACCACGATCAAGTAGGTTTCATCCCAGGGATGCAGGGATGGTTCAACACACGAAAATCCATCAATGTAATCCACCATATAAACAAGCTGAAAAACAAAAAAATCACATGATCATCTCACTAGATGCTGAAAAAGCCTTTGACAAAATCCAACACCCATTCATGATAAAGGTCTTGGAGAGCCGGGCGGTGGTGGCACACGCCTTTAATCCCAGCACTCGGGAGGCAGAGGCAGGCAGATCTCTGTGAGTTCAAGGCCAGGCTGGACCGACAGCCTCCAAAACAATACAGAGAAACCCTGTCTCGTAAAAACCAAAAAAAAGGTCTTGGAGAGATCTGGGATAACAGGATAACAGGGACATACTTAAACATAATAAAAGCTATATACAGTAAACCAACAGCCAACATCAAACTAAATGAACAGAAACTCAACGCAATTCCTCTAAAATCAGGAACAAAACAAGGCTGTCCACTCTCTCCATACCTTTTCAACATGGTACTTGAAGTTCTAGCTATAGCCATACGACAACAAAGGGGGATCAAGGGGATACAAATTGGGAAGGATGAGGTCAAACTTTCACTGTTTGCAGATGATATGATAGTTTACATCAATGACCCAAAGAACTCTACCAGGGAACTCTTACAGCTGATTAACACCTTCAGCAAAGTGGCAGGCTACAAGATCAACTCAAGAAAATCAGTAGCCCTACTATATACAGATGATAAAAGGGCTAAGAAAGAAATCAGAGAAACATCACCCTTTACAATTGCCACAAACAACATAAAATACCTTGGGGTAATACTAACCAAAGAAATGAAAGACCTGTATCTCAAGAACTTTGAATCTTTAAAGAAAGAAATTAAAGAAGCCCTCAGAAAATGGAAAGATCTTCCATGCTCTTGGATAGGTAGGATCAATATAGTAAAAATGGCAATCCTGCCAAAAGCAATCTACAGATTCAATGCAATCCCCATTAAAATCCCAGCACAATTCTTCACAGACCTTGAAAGAACAATAATCAATTTTGTATGGAAAAACAAAAGACCCAGGATAGCCAAAACAACCCTGTTCAACAAGGCAACGTCTGGAGGCATCACCATCTCTGACCTCAAGCTCTACTATAGAGCTATAGTCCTGAAAACAGCTTGGTATTGGCACAAAAATAGACAGGTAGAACAATGGAATCGAATTGAAAACCCAGATATTAATCCACACAGGTATGAACATCTGATATTTGACAAAGAAGCTAAAAATACACAATGGAATAAAGAAAGCATCTTCAACAAATGGTGCTGGCATAACTGGAGGCTGGCATGTAGAAGAATGCAGATTGATCCATGTTTATCGCCATGCACAAAACTTAAGTCCAAATGGATCAAAGACCTCAACATAAATCCAGCCACACTGAACCTCTTAGAAGAGAAAATGGGTGGTACCCTTGAACGAATTGGTACAGGAGACAGCTTCCTGAACATAACACCACTAGCACAGACAGTGAGATCAACATTTAATAAATGGGACCTCCTGAAACTGAGAAGCTTCTGTAAGGCAAAGGACACAGTCAGCAAGACAAAAAGGCAGCCCACAGAATGGGAAAAATATTCACTAATCCCACATCTGACAGAGGGTTGATCTCCAAAATTTACAAAGAACTCAAGAAGCAAGTGTCCAAAACACCAAAGGATTCAATTAAAAAGTGAGCTGCAGAACTAAATAGAGAGTTTTCAATAGAGGAGTCTAAAATGGCTGAGAGGCACTTGAGAAAGTGCTCAACATCCTTAGCCATCCGGGAAATGCAAATCAAAACAACTCTGAGATACCATCTCATTCCTGTCAGAATGGCTAAAATCAAAAACACCAATGACAATTTATGCTGGAGAGGATGTGGTGAAAGAAGAACACTCCTCCATTGCTGGTGGGAGTGCCAACTGGTTCAGCCACTTTGGAATTCAGTATGGAGATTCCTCAGAAAAATGGGAATAAACCTACCACAAGACCCAGCAACTCCACTCTTAGGCATATATCCAAAAGATGTCCATTCATACAAGGATGTCTGTTCCACTATGTTCATAGCAGCATTATTTGTAATAGGCAGAACTTGGAAGCAACCTAGATGCACCTCAACCGAAGAGTAGATAGAGAAAATGTGGTATATTTACACAATGGAGTACTGTTCAGCAGAAAAAACAATGGAATCCTGAGATTTGTAGGCAAATGGATGACACTAGAAGAAACCATCCTAAATGAGGTAACACAGTCACAAAAAGAGAAACATGGCATGTACTCTCTCATATATGGATTTTAGACATAGATCTGGGGAGTGCCAGCCTACAATCCCATGTCCAGAGAGTCTGGGAAACAGAAACTTCATTCAGTGGCTGATGGAAGAATAGGCACACTCCCATGGTTAAGCACTGAGCTGAACTCAAGAAAGCCAGTAACAGAGAGGGAGGACTGATGACCAAAGGTATTAAGACTGGGCTGGTTTAACCCCAGAAACCGCTGACCTGACAAAGTTTAACTCTTGAATCCCAGGTATCAGCCTGGGAATCCAGCATGGGACCTATCAAGACCCCCTAAATGTGGGTGTCAGTGAGGAGGCCTAGGTAATCTATTGAGCCTTGGGCAGTAGATCAGTACTCATCCCGAGTATACACACGGACTTTGGACTCCCATCCAACAATGTGAGATGCACGCTCACCCTGAACTCTTGGGGGAGGGTCTAGGCCCTGAGCTGGATAAAATGAGACTATGGACATGCTCATGGTGGGCTGCACTCTCCCTGGGGAAATGAGGGGAAAATGGGGGGGATGGGGGAAGGGCATGGGAGGAGGGGAGGGAAAGGGAGAGGGACCTGGAACTGACTTGTGAAGCAACCTTGTTTCTAATCTAAATTTAAACTTAAAAATAAATAGTAAAAAAAGAAAGAAAAATAAAAACTAATTAACTGAAGTGTCAAAAAAAAAAAAAGATCTACTATAGAGGTATAGCCTGTTGAACTATGTTCATAGCAGCATTATTTGTAATAGCCACAACCTGGAAGCAACCTAGATGACCCTCAACTGAAGAGTGGATGGAGAAAATGTGGTACTTTTACACAATGGAGTACTACTCATCAGAAAAACAACAACAAAAACAATGGACTCTTGAAATTCACAGGCAAATGGATTGGCACTAGAAGAAACCATCCTGAGTGAGGTAACTCAGTCACAAAAATACAAACATGGTATGTACTCACTCATATATGGATTTTAGACATGGAGAAGTGGGATTGTCAGTCTACAATGCCACCATCAGAGAGACTGGGAAACAGGGAGGACCTTAAGAGAGATATGCATGGTAGCCCTGAGAAGGAGAATGAGGCATGATAACCTGAGTGGATTGGGAGTATGGGGGAGGGAGAAGAGGAGGGAAAAGGAGGACATGGGGGATCAGGAAGACTGAGTCTGGGGAAGAATACAGAATGAGAGATACCATAGTAGAGGGAGCCATTATAGGTTTGAGGAGAGATCTGGCATTAGTGAGATTTTCAGAGATCTACAAAGATGATACCAACTGGTAATCTAAGCAATAGTGGAGAGGCTACCTAAAATGCCTTTCCCCAATAATGAGATTGACAACTACCTTATATGTCATCCTTTAGCCTTCATCCAGTGGCTGATGGAAGCAGAGGCAGAAACCCACAGCTAAACATTGAACTGAACTCCTGGAACCCAGTTGCAGAGAGGGAGGAGTCAAAGGGGTCAAGACAGTGCTGGCCAAACCCACAGAGACAGCTGAAGAAGCAGGATCTCATGGATCCCAGACTGGTGGCTGAGAGACCAGAATGGGACTAACCCAGACCCCCTGAACGTGGGTGTTAGTGAAAAGGCCTCAGTAATCTATGGGGCCTCAGCTAGTAGATTAGTCTTTATGCTTGGCATGCGAATGGCCTTTGGCAGCCCATTCCACATGGAGAGATGCTCTCAGCCTGGACACATGAGGAAGGGACTAGGCCCTGCTTTGGATGATATAACAGACTTTGGAGATCCTCCATGGAGGGCCTCACCTTCCCTGAGGAGCAGAGGGAGCATGGGGTGGGGAATTGGGAGGGTTGGTGTGGGATTGAAATGTGAAGCAAGTTCATTGCTAATTTAATAAAAAATAAAAATAACTCATGTATGAAATTCTCTAAAATTAAATATATATTAAAATTTTCAGAGATAAAGTTAAACATAATTAAATTCTTAAAATAATTTTGTTAAGCAAAAGTAAACATTGGTATGTGAAATTTGAGAATTATATAAAATGAAGCAAAATTGATAAAAATGACTCACCCACCTTTGCTAGGAACCAGGCGTGAGAGTATATCCAGCCCTGTCTGCATATTTTCTCACATCCTGACTTGTACTTCACTCAGGAGAAAACAGAATGGGAACCCGGAAAACACACGATCCAAGTCTCCATGTCATCAAAGCCATCTGAGGAAAGGTGTACAGAAGAGCTTGTCATTAAAGACCAAGCCAAGCTTGAAAACAACAACAAAAGATTTCATAGGTTCACAACTGAAATAAAGATAGTCTCCCAACAGACAAAACTAACAATTATTTAGAATCCTGAATGGCTCCACATAATGTCAAGAAAATGAGTATCTACATTTGCCATCATTTTATGCAAAGTCCATGAATAAGAAATGTAGTTTGTTAATAAGAGGAATCTTGACTTTTTCTTTGCAATTCCAAACTCACTCATAAAGGGGCAGGCCTGTCCTGGGCATTAGCAAATCATGGCATATCAGGTTGCCATTACACCAAGCACATTCTTCAGTATTCAGGGTGGGAAAGCATGAGGAATAGGTTCCCAAGAGCTAAAGCACCAGGGACAGCTCCTGCTCTCATTGCCAGGAGTCCCACAAACAGACAAGGCTCGTCAACTGTCACAGACTTGCAGACCAGTCTAGTTGTTGATTCAGACACTGTGAGTTTCCCTGAGCCAGGCTAGTTGTTTCTTTGGATTTTCCTGTGATGTTCCTGAGCTCCCTGGCTCCTACAATCCCAACCATGGGTCTCTGAATCTGCCTCTGTCAGTCATTGGATGAAGGCTCTCTGATAACACCTGGGGTAGTCACAAATCCAATCACAGGAGAGCCATTGCAGGCTAGGCATCTACTGCTGCCAAGAGTACCAGGTGGGAGTTTCGCTTGCATCAGAGCTGATGAGCAAATAGAAACTTCATGTCCTTTTCTCTCACCCCCTCCCCTTCACTTCCCCTGAAAAGGAGGAAGAGGCAGCTATGGTTGGATGTAAAACAATTAAATTTTTAAAATTCTACAAGAATTCTTAAGGCAATATATGTGCACATATGTGTATGTAGTATGCACATTCATGAATAACTCACTTAATAAATAAAAAAGAATCTGGGAAGAAATTGATGATTATAAAGTTGCTGTAAATTAAAGATTATAACAAATTTCCATACAGTTTTCCTGTTCTAAATTAGTCATCTTGCTTATACATTCTCCCGAAAGGTTGATACTGGCTGTCTTTTATAGTCTTTGTGTGTACAAATATAAAATGGTCTATTTTGTGTATAACAATGGAATCCAGTTTATTTGTGTATATCAGTGGATTCAATACACATTTCTCTAATATCTGAACTTGGTAAGGTTTTTTCTTATAATTATTGAACTTTTTATGACTTATTTTATGTGGAATTTCATCTAGTCTTTTGTTCACTATTTTAAAAATTTTTGTCTATTATTGAACTGTGTGAACAGATTATATACTAGGAATATAAATCCATTTACAGATACAGGATTATAAATTATTTCTTTCAATTTGTGCCTTGTCATTTCGTTTCTTGAAGTTACTTTTGATGATCTGAGGCATTCATTTTTAACATGTCCAGGTTGTCACCTGATTATCTACTTTTATGGCTGAATGTTATGCTAAGAAAACTATTCCTACAGAGAAGACACAATGATGCTTTCCTATGTAATATTAGCTCATGCTCTTAGGATTGTAGCTTCCTGAGCTACATTTCTGATGGGAAGTAGAGTTTGTGTCTCTCCTTTGTCTTTTCTCCTCTCCCTGGGAAGGAATCTAATGTACCGGAGAGTGGCACTGGACGAGTTATGCAGCTGAAGATGCCTTTAAACTTCTAATCCTGATGCCCTACTTGCAGTGTTGAGTGTTGAACCCAGCACTCCATGCATGTCACACAAGTGTTTCTCAGCGTGAACCGCTGCCGAGGCTGATAGGCATGTTCTCTATGTTATTGCTGAAAATATGGTGCTTTCTCCATTAATCTCTTCTAGCAACTCAGCCAAAGATCACTTTACCTGGCTTCACTCACACATATTTCTGATTTATACATCCTTGTTTATGATGACATACTACCTTATTATTGTGACTTCATGTTCTTAAATGTGTTCTTTTTCCAGGTAAATTTTAGGGTCAGTGTCTACAAAACTGCAATGTAATTTTGACAGGAATCATATGTACTGGAATCATATTTTAAGAATACTAGCATCCATATTTAGCCTTCTAGCTAAATAAGCAAACAAACAAATAAATACATTCATTAAATTAGGGCTTCGTTCCCAACCACATCATGCCTGGTTTTCTGGTCTCTGTACAATTTGCAACAAATGTGTTCCTAGTTATTTTAGTACTGGTTTTTTTAGAACTAGATCAAAAACTCTTGGAGTTTTCAATTTTCTTTTTTCTGGGAAAGTATGGACATGAAGTTTCAATTTGCTCATCAGCTCTAGATCCTGAGACCAGTGATCCATTAATCAGTCCTCAGTTTTTTTAAAGTTTCTTTAAGAATGCACAGGGGGCCTAGGGAATCTATTGAGCCTTGGGCAGCAGATCAGTACCCATCCCAAGTATACACACGGACTTTGGACTCCCATAGAACAATGTGAAGTGCACTCTCACCCTGACCTCTTGGGGAAGGGTCTAGGCCCTGCCCTATATGAAATGACAGACTATGGACACCCCCATGGAGGGCCTCACCCTCCCTGGGGGAATGAGGGGATAACGGGGGGGGGAGTTGGGGGGAGGGCACGGGAGGAGGGGAGGGAATGGGAGAGGGACCTGGAACTGACTTGTGAAGCAACCTCATTTCTTATCTAAATTTAAACTGGAAAATAAAATATGAAAAAAAAACAATGCACAGCTACACAACCAGGTCAATCAAAAGGTAGTTTTATTTCTTTTCACCGTCAATTTCTGTTTCCTTCTTTGTTGCTTCTTTTCCAGTTATATCAGTCACAATTTCCACCATGAACATCTTTTCCACCTTTGGAATGTCTTGTAGGCATGGTGCTTTTGCTCATCTAAAACTTACATTTTTCGACTATTTTAGGCAGCTCTCATCATGACATGGAATTGTCACTTTAATTGTCTTCAATTTAAAGGTTGCACTTTCACTGTCTTCTACATCCCTTAGCTTGTGATGAGAGCTAAGCTATTACTGTGATTAATATTCACTTATTTTATACATCTTCTGTTTACTCCAGTTCATTTTAAGGAATTTTTGACCATGTATTACGCAACAATGACATGCTACACTATTGTTTTGTTTGCATTGATTTGTGTAGGAGTCACTGAGATTTTATAATGGTCAAAAGAAAACATTCACATGTCTAATGTTTACTTTGTCAGACCCAGATCAGAAATTGGGACCAGAAGGAATAGAAGTGTGTGGTGTCAAGAGAGAAACATACCTAGTCAGAATAGCTGCTGAACTACTGAGTAAATATCCAGGCTGTGAATGCCTGCAGCCTGCAGAGCAAGGTCTCATCTCTAGAGCCTCACTGTACTCACAGCTAAAGAGGGCCTTCCTAGCAATACTTTTGCTCCTGGATTTTTGTACAGTCTTGGTTTCTTCAAGCCACACTGGATACTGTTAAACAATGAACACTGAAGAGTTTCAAGGCAAAAGCTGTTCAGTAAACATTTATATGCAACATCTGTTGCTAGAGACACAAAGCCTGGGGTTTGCTGGCTTTATTTTTGCCACTTGTGACTTAGCAGTTCCAATCTCTCTTTTACCCTGGTGGCCATGCTAGCTTCCCCCAAATACTTCTCCACTCTTCAAAGTATCATTCCCTCATAGTTCTGATAATTAAGAATAGCTTTTGTTTACCCCATGAAGTCTGTGGAAACTTCATGACTGGTACTGGCTGAGAAGTTAGACCCCTGACCCAGGGGAGCAAGGGTTATCACGAACTGCCAACTGCCCCAAGGGCTCTCCTTTCCTGTCAATCCCATGTCCTTCTTCACTATTGGCTCCTATTTTCTTTTTCCAAAAGCCCTGTATGGCTTCCAGAACCAACTTGATCCATGGAACACGGTGGAATGGAAGGTTTATGTATTCAAAGGCAACCTTCTCCTTGGGAAAAAACTTCAACACATGACAGAACAGCTCTGGTGTATAAGCACAAAACACCTTCCCTCCTTCAGCATCCATGACTATTTTGAAGCATGATTTTTCTCTTGGATCTGCATTTTCTGTATGTAAGCTTCAGTTGCTCCAAAAGTTTCATTCTTTCATACAAGATACAATTCCTGTCCTCCCCATCTCTCTTCCTTGTTCTTTTTTCCTTTTATATTTAAATTAGAAACAAGTTTGTTTTATATGTCAATTCCAGTTCCCTCTCCCTCCCCTCCTATAATGTTGCCCACCGAAACCCTACACCACTTCCCTATCTGCTCCCCAGGGAGGGTGAGGCCTTCCATGGGGGATCTTCAAAGTCTGTCATATCATTTGGAGCAGGGCCTAGACCCTCCCTCATGTGTCTAGGCTGAGAACATATCTCTCTATGTGAGGTGGGCTCCCAAAGCCCATTCATGTACTAGGGATAGATACTGATCCACTACCAGAGGCCCCATAGATTAACCAGAATTCCAAAATGACATCCTTGTCCAGGGGTTCTGAAAGAGTCCTATGCTGGTTTCTCAGCTGTTTCTGTGGGTTTCTCCTGCCTACTCTTGACCCCTTTGGTCATCACTCCTCCCTCTCTGCAAGTGGATTCCAGATTTCAGTTCAGTGTTTAGCTGTAAGTGTCTGCTTCTGCTTCCATCAACTACTGCATGAAGGCTCTAGAATGGCATACAAGGTAGTCACAAATCTCATTATCAGAGAAGGGCATTTAAGATAGCCTCTTGACTATTACTTAGTTGTGGTCAACATTGTAGTTCTCTGGACATTTCCCTAGTGCCAGATTTCTCTTTAAACCTGTAATGGTGGTAGAGAGGTGAGTCCCAGGGCATCTTCCAGCCTATATCCCCCTCTTTGAGTCCCGTGATCCTTGGCCACCAGCCCCTTCCTGCCATCAAACCCTTCAGAGGGACCTGTAGACAGAAAAAAGCAGCTAGCACAAAAGGCTGCCATTCTTCCTTTCCCCTCAACCTTGTGGGGAGGTAGGGAGAGAGAGAAAAAGAGAAAGATGGAAAGAAACAGAGAGAGAGAGGAGGAGGAGGAAGAGAGGGCCTTGAACCCATATCTACCAGGAAAGGGAGAGATCCCCCCACCTGTACCCACTGGAAGAGATTGAAAGACAACAGTATAAGAACACATGCAACAACTGAATTATATGACACCTGCAGAATCTAGGGACTCTACACCAGTAAGAACTGAACATCCCAACACAGATGAAAGAAGAATGTGACCTGAAAGACAACCTCATATAAATGATAGAGGCCCTCAAAAGGATATGAGAAAATCCTGTAAAGAAATGGAAGGAAACCAATAAAATGCAAGAAATCAATAAATCTTTTAAAGAAAGCAAGGAAAGACAAGACAAAAACAATCTAACAGATTACAGAAACAATTAAAACAGCTCAAGACCTGAAAACTGAAATAGAGACAGTAAAGAAAACACAAACTGAGGGAATGTTGGAGATAGGAAAGCTGAATAAATGATCAGTGACTACAGATGCTAGCATAACAAACAGAATACAAGAGACAGAAGACAGAATCTCAAGTGCAGAAGATAAAGTAGAGGAAATAGATTCATTGACAAAAGTAAATCTAACTCCAGCAAATCCTTAACACAAAATATCCAGCAAATATGGGACACTGTGAACAGATCAAACCTAAAAACAATAGATTTAGAATAAGGTGAATAAGGCCAGCTCAAAGGTGCAGAAAACATATTGAACAAAATCATAGAAGAAAACTTTCCAAACCTGAAGAAGGACATGCCTGTGAAAATACAAGAAGCTTACTGAACACCAAATAGACTGGACCAAAAAAATGATCAAAACATAAACATACAGTATAAAGAAAGAATATTAAGAGCAGCAAAGGAAAAGGACCAACTACAATATAAAAGTAGACATATCAGAATTACACCTGATTTCTCCATGGAAACTCTGAAAGCCAGAAGGTCCTGGATAGATGTTCTACAAACACTAACAGACCACAGATTCAAGCCCAGACTACTATACCCAGCAAAATTCTCAATCACTATAGAAGGAGAAAACAGGATATTCTGGGGGGGGGCGAGATTTACACAATACATATCCTTAAATCCATCCATACAGAAATTTCTGGAAGGAAAACTCCAACCCAAGAAAGTTAACTACACTCACAATAACATAGGCAATAGATAATCCCACTTTACCAAAAGTCAGAAATAGGTGAAAAACTGACACACAATACCACCACCAAAACCAAATCCAAAACAAACAAGAATCAACAATCTATGGTCATTATCAACAGTCTTAATTCACCTATAAAAAGACACAGGCTAACAGAATGGATATGAAGACAGAATCCATCCTTGTGCTGCATACAAGAAACACACCTCAACTCAAAGACAGAGGTTACCTTAGAGTTAAGGGTTGGGAAAAGATTTTTCAATCAAATGGACCTAAGAAGCAAGCAGGTATAGCTATCTTATTATCTAACAAATTACACCTCAAATTAAAATTAATCAAAAGAGATGAAGAAGGACATTTCATATTCATCACAGGAAAAATCCATCAGGATGAAATTTCAATTCTGAACATCTATGCCCCAAACACAAAGGCACCCACATTCATAAAAGAAACTTTACTAAAACTCAAATCACATACGAAACTATGCACACTTATAATGGGAGATTTCAACACACCACTCTCACCACTGGACAGGACCACCAGACAGAAACTTAAACAAATAAACAAAGGAAATATCAGAAGTTATGACCCAATTGAGTTTAACATCTATAGAACATTCCATGCAAACACAAAAGAATATACCTTCTTCTCAGCACCAAATGGAACCTTCTCTAAAATCAACCACATACTTGGCAATAAAGGAAACCTCAAAAAATACAAAAATTGGAGTAAATCCCTGTATCTTATCAGGCCACCATGGCTTAAAATTAGAATTCAAAAACAACACAAACTGCAGAAACCCCACAAACTCATGGAAATTGAACAATGCCCAACTGTATCACTCCTGGGTAAAGGAAGAAATAAAGAAAGAAATAAAAGACTGCAAAGAATTCAATGAAAATGAAGACACAACATACCCAAACCGATGGGACACTCTGAAAGCAGTTCTAAGAGGAAAGTTCATAGCACTAAGAGCCCACATGAAGAAACTGGAGAGTAGCCACGTTATAGAATTAACAGAAAAACTGAAAACTCTAGAACAAAAAGAATCAAACTCACCCAGGAGAAGTAGATGCCAGAAAATAATCAAATTGAGAGCTGAAATAATAAAGTAGAAACAAAGAAAACAATGCAAAGACTCAATGAAACAAAGATTTGGTTCTTTGAGAAAATTAACAAGATAAAGTTTATCCAACCTAACTAAAAAGCAGAGAGAGAACATGCTAATTAACAAAATCAGAAATGAAAAGAGGGACATAACAACAGACCCTGGAAATCCATAGAATCTTCAGGTCACACTTTGAAAACCTGTATTCCACAAAATTGGAAAATTTAAAGGAAATGGATAATTTTATGGATAGATATCACTTACCAATATTAAATCAAGAACAAATAAACATTTTAGATAGACCTATATCCCCTACCAAAATAGAAGCAGTCATCAAATATCTTCCAACAAAAAAAGTCCTGGATTAGATGGTGTCAGTGCAGAAATCTACCATAAATTCAAAGAAGAGCTAATACCAACACACTTCAAATTGTTCCACAAAATAGAAAAAGAACGATCACTGCCAAACTCTTTTTACTAGGCTACAATTACCTTAGTAACCAAGCCACAGAAAGACACAACTAAGATAGGGAACTACAGACCAACTCCCTCATGAACATTGATGCAAAAATACTAAATAAAATACTGGCAAATCGAATCCAAGAACACATCAGAAAAATCATCCACCATGATCAAGTATGCTTCATCCCAGGAACACAGAGATGATTCAACATATGAAAATCCATCAATGTAATCCACCACATAAACAATCTGAAAAAGAAAAACCACATGCTGAAAAATCCTCTGACAAAATTCAGCACCGCTTCATGATAAAGATCTTGGAGAGATTAAGGAGAACAGGAGCATACCTAAACATAATAAAGACAATATACAGCAAACTGGCAGACAACATCAAACTAAATGGAGAGAAATTCAAGGCAATTCCTCTAAAGTCATGAACAAGGCAAAGTTGTCCACTCTCTCCATTTCTGTTCAGTATTGTAGTTGAAATTCTTGCTAGAGCAATAAGACAACAAAAGGAGATCAAGGGGATACAAATTGGAAAGGAAGAAGTCAAACTTTCACTATTTGCAGATAATATGGTAGTTTACATAAGTGACCCAAAAAACTCTTCCTTGTTCTTAAACAGTGTTTCCTGGCAATAATAGGCACTAGTGATTATCACCTGGTCTTTGCCTCAGTATGATTTCAGTGAGAGCTCAAGGGTTGAATTCACCTGACAAAAGTCATCAAAACTTCTGAGAACAGTCTTAGTTCTATCCTGGTCAAAAAATTGCATGTGTATTTGGTGCCTAGGTATGAAGGAGTTCACAGTGTCTCAGGTGTGACTTGGTTCTAAGCAATGGTCAATGCCGCGATTCACCAAATTTTGCTAGACTTGAACGTCATTGTAAAATGGATCTCACCTTCTCACCTTCCTTTCGTTCATATAGGAAACACTGCTTTTGCCTTAGTTCCATGGCCATGCCTCCTGTAGAACACACCTGTAAATTTGCAGAATACCATTCCTTAGTCTTCTCATCCTGTTGCCTCCACCAGAGCCACCTGAATAAAATGTGTCTCACTCATAGGAACAGAACGAGAAGCTGGAGGCAGCTCCTCTGATCTCTTAAGGTGGATGACTTCTTAAGTCTACAGTGTTTAAACTCTTAATAGAAATTTATTCTTCACATCCTTGAGCTGGATCAGGCTTGAAAAGCTTCAGATATATTTTTTCTCCTTCCTCTTCATAATCTATCCAGTTCTAGAGAATGAATTTTTTCTAGTTCTTCATATCTCTCTTAATAAAGACAACCACAAATTCTTCTGTAGAATATACCCTATCAGCCTGTTGCCTCTGAGAATCTTATTTCTTTTTTTCCATGGCCCTTTTGTATCTGAATTAGAGCAATTGATTTAAGTGTTGGGTCACTTTCTAATGATTTCACTGTACAAAAACAAAATCAAAGATTGATGGATCCTTGGGCTAAGAGGAGCCTGGAGAAGTCCAAGGATTTTCTGTGGGTATGAAGAAATCAACACAGGCTGTCAAGTGATTTGTCCAGAGTCAAGTGGGAAGTCAGTACCCTGATGGGAAATTGAATCCAGGCTTCTCTGATGCCCATACAATGGTCTCCATGTATACAAAATAAAAATAGAGTATAAAAATAGTGTACTATGTATAAAGAAAAAATAAAACTTATTAGAGAGGCTGAAAACTATAACATTTGTTCTGTGCATATTTTGATTACAAATTATTTACTAGACATTTTCAGAAACAAGAGGGAGCAAAATAGAAAAAAATCATTCCTCCTTAGAATTTATACTTTAGTATGTGAGACAGATAAGAAATAAGAACCGTGCATGTCAGGTGTGCTAAGTTCCACAGTGAGAAAACAATCAGATAAAGGATGTCAAGAACCAAAAACAGTAAGGCCAAGTATAATTTAATTAAGGAAGTTATTAGGGAAAGCTTCTATGCTGCATTTCATTTAAGCAAATGTGGCATTATCCACTTCATTATCCTGCGGGGAGTGGTTGGTCTTCTGCCTTCTATGTGCCATTCACTATTGGTGACTGTGTCTCAAAGAGTACTTCTGAGACCCACCCTCAGTAATAATCATCACATATGGCATGGTGATGAATTATGCTTATCACGGCTAGAAACTATATTTCTTGATTTTTGTTTCACTCTCTCTCACTGATCTTAGTGAGGTTCTAGGACTATTGAGAACCAGGCTGACCTAAGCATTTCTGAGGATAGGATGAAAGCACAAAAGGAATGTTAGTTCTGTGTTCCTATCCAGAGGTAGACTTGGCAATGTACATTCTGGAGCCGGAGACAGGGCACCAAAGTAGTCAAGATTGCAGTTTCTGGGGATCTTCCTCTTTCCCCAGGCTGTGGTTTCCAGTCCTAGGGCAGCTGAGTCTGATGTATCCTGTGTTCTCTTGGAAAACATTGTGTGATTTAGTTCTCTGCTGATCTTGGCCATCCTCCACCACACACACAACCACAAGTCATATGTAAGAAGTTGAGCTGTTTTATAAACTTTCTTGGCATAAGTCATCAGCTTATGAAAGATCGCCTGGTCTCGGCTTTTTCTTTTGTCTTCTTTATTTCTCATTCTAAGTGCTCCCTCTCAACACTTTCGGCAGGTTTAGATCATGGGACAGCATCTGGCTTTTCAGCATTGTAACATCAGCACCCAGGAAATTGGCTGGTTCATAGTAATTTTTAGATGTTTGTTTAAGGCATGGCTAGGTGAAAGGATGGGTGAATAGACGGAGCAGAAAGTAGAGCTGGAACAGATTATCTTTGGTTGATAATATAAACACAGTGCATTCTATTTCTTTCCTTCCTATGATGCTAAAATCTTCCTCTGTTCCATTCTGGGTGGAGCTTCATGATTTGCTTAATCAATAGAGGATTGTAGATGTAACAGTTGGGGCATCTAAGGGCGTCATTTAGAAGACTCTACAGCTCTAGTTATAATTTGACCTGATGTGGGAAAAGATAACTGTCATGTGAAGAGAATCCATGTGCAAAAGGAAGCACAGCTAACTCCAAGCTAAGTCAGTGTGTCATGCCTGCATCTATGATCATCTGGTTACTACTGCATGAGAGAATTCAAGCAAGAACTGATCAACTGAGCCCAACCATTCTTGGAATGGGGGAGCATGGTATACTGTTGCCTTAACTAAATTTGTAGTATTTTGCTATAATGCAGTAAATAACTGGAATTCCTTGTGGGTTGATAATTATGGAGGAGCAGTCATAGTCCCTTGATGCTTACAACAACATAGAGAAAGCAGGTATAAATTGGGACATATTGTAGATGAAGAAAACCCAGCTAGTGGGAGCTAGGATTAGATCTGAGTCTAGACTTAAAGGGGAAACCAAGTTATCAAAGGAGAATGAGTTGAAAACAGAAGTATTTATACACTTAATTGTAGGGAGAGATCTACATACCTGTAGGGTTACCACACCCATTCAGGTGTGGTCACAGGTACATAGAACGTATGGGGGATAAAAGAGCTGAGAGGAGGAGACACTTTCTCTTTGGGTTCCGGTCACATTCAGGTTGCTTGCTGGAGAGCAATATGTTGATCTTTGGTTCTTGACTTTCTTGACTTCTCACTTAAGTGATTTCTCCCTCAATAAAAGATCTAAGGACATCCCTATTTTGTGTAGCTTAGTATTTCTGCATTACTCAATGAGTATACTTTTTCTGTCCTTATTTAACTGACTTCAGTTTAAGCGGGGAACATACAATCTAAGTGGCCTCAGCTCAACAGAGTTTGTTTTCTTTACTTGTATATCAAGATTGCAATGGACTATGCCTAAGAATAAAATAAATAAAATAAGATAACTAAAATAAAATAAATTACTGTGTGCTTAGAATAACATTAAGTGTGCCTTTTACTCTATACAGCACCTAGGAAATATGTTCTGGAAGCTTTTCACCTTCCCAGCTGTTTCTGGACTTGATCAAATCACTTAGTAACTACCAAGAAGTCCACCAGAGCAAAAGGTTCAACTCTGCCTTCTGTTAATTAGCCCAGGCAGTTTTCAAGGTCCCAGCCCTGAAATTAATTTCATGTGCAGTATCCCCAATTAGGTCAAATCTGTCTGAAATTTCTGGAACCACAACTTAGCAATCAGTGGAGAGACACACCAATGTAACAAAAGGTCGAGATATATTTCTTTTAGTAGTTCCCTCAAAACAACTCTTCAAAATCTTTTTAAGACACAAAATTATGTTTTATATGCTTTGTGAAAATAAGTGTCCAGCCCTGATAGATATATCAGAAAGTAAATGCTTAGTCATTTGACTTTGTGCACTAGCCTAAAGACAACAACATTTACATACTTCCTTATGTTTCCTGATTCTCCACAATTTTAATGAACTGTGCATCAGCCATCAATCAGTCTTTTTAGCAAAGAGTTCCATGTTGATGAAGATGAGCTCAGCAGAGGGGTCACACTTTGTCCATCTCCCCAATATGGCCTCATTGAATAAATCTGCTATTATATGGGTAGTGTTCATTGGCTTCTCAATCTGGCCTATTGAGACACAGCCAGTCCAGCAAAAATCACAGCAATCATGAAGGGACTAAAAGACAAATCTGGGAGTGTCTGCCTTTCACAACGTGCTAGCCCCAGAGAGAAAGGAAAGACTGGAAGGATCCAGGAGCTTCTGAGTCATTTCCTCACGGGGAAATTTCTCTGCCTTCCCATGTAATCCAGCATCAGCAGCTCCCTATCTGTATGCCATGAGGCAGAAAAATGAGCATTTGGACTTTGCTTTGAAGATTAAGGACATTTGACCCTACCACGGACCTTCTCAGTGGTCTGTTGTGCCTGACGAAGAGACAGAAATAGGTGGTAAAGTCAGGGCCAGCCTGAGTCATGGTCACCGCCATCTAGAGCATAGCTTTGCTTCTCCTTGGCCCTCAGCCAAGCTGAATAGCTGGAACTTACCACATCATGTGTGGATAAATGCAAATGGGACCATCTAGGATAATACAGAAGGGCAAGTCATAATCAAGGGCTGATAAGAGAAGTCCCCTACCCCCCCCCCCACTTCTTAACTTTGCTCTTCTAAATGAACAAGTAATGCCTGTGATGGAATCTTTTAGTGTTGTATTGGACCTTGCTATTACTCTTCTTCAGTTCCTTTAAATATTGACTCTTGAAACCAATGGGCACTAGATTAAATTAGATGATGATGGGCCATTAGAGATCCTGTCTTCACTCTATGAAAAGGATCCATTTCACACATGATACAATGCTGATCTCTTAGTATCTTACAGACTTAAGGAGGCACCTATCTTCAAAGTATGCAATTTAGACAATCTTGCAATCTGAAAACTTGGCACATATCTACTTGCTCTGACAAAGTGTTTTATTATTGTACATATAAACTACACTTATTCATGAACTGTTTGAGATTTTAAAAATTGTTTTTTGCCAAGCCTGTATTTTTATTTTCCTACTGAACTAAAGCGTTTGGATTTTACTTCCTTTTTCTTAAATAGTAGATGAATGAATGTGTGTGTGTGTGTGTGTGTGTGTGTGTGTGTGAGAGAGAGAGAGAGAGAGAGAGAGAGAGAGAGAGAAAGAGAGAGAGAGAGCATTTCTGTGTAATTCTTTTACGTGATGATGCTAGCTCTTGCTTGACATTTTGTATGTATTATAGGCCTTCTATGACACAAACCTTAAGAAAATATCTCATGAAGATGGCGTTTTCCAAGACACAAATGTCAATGTTACTAACCAGGTTTAATGTTTGCATATTCGTAATTACATTATGATTATTGTTTTCATCAAAGACAATTAGATTCTAATGCTGGATACCCCAAGAAGTGCCTCTTCATGATTAAAAAATATTGAGCATTGGTTAATCCTTAAATCAAGATGTAACTTGTAAATTAATTTTACTCTTATTGACTGTGTTTTGTAAGCTTCATAACTGTTGTCTGTTAACATCCTTCAAAAGCATTTGCTGTTGGTATTTATGTGTTTGGGAACCTTATGACTAATTGTTATCTGTTAACATCCTGCAGAAGTATAATTTTTACAAAGAGCACAAATAATATTGAGAGGCTATAACATTACTCACAGAACACGCAGAATGGACTCCATTTATGCCTGAACCTCAGAGCCATTCTCTTTATACTTCTCAGAAGCTTTAGAATGGGCCTTACATGGTTTGGCGCTCTAAATCCTTGACATCTGTCACCACCTGCCAAACATGGGATCAAATCATGGGATCAAACCAGACTAACCTGTACAAATCAGACTCTGGTGATGAGAAGCAGTAGAGAATAAACTATAAGATAGTTGAACATTGATGTCTTCAAGAACATCATTCAGAGACAAGAATGGAGGTTGTCAGAATTGAGAGGAAGTCATGGAGCATATTACAGCATTTGCTTATAATCCCAACTCTCACATAATAAGGTGGGGCAAGAGTATCATAAGTGGAAAATCTGCTTATATTTTTTTAAAAGATGGAATTCCCTTGAGATACCCTTTCTGAAAATTACTGAAAAACTAGAGATTACATGGTTCCTACTTGACTAGAGATTACTTGGTTCCTACTTGCACTCTTCATAACATATGTTTCAGACATAAACATATTCTACCTCAAGACTGAAGTATTGGAATAGTGGGGAAGTATACCTGGTCTGTAGGGGAGAAATATTCTGAAGAGACACTTCTGTCCCTCTCTTTGATTATTGTACAATTGAAACAATGGCTCCCAAGAAACTGGAATTCCCCTAGGAATCCTACAATGGTAGAAGAGAAAGCTGAAAGTCTAGGCCAGAAAAAAAGAAAACTTTTCTCCTACAAATATTTACAATTTGTCAGACAACCTTACACAGAAAAACAATTGTAACAGACTCCCAGAACTTAACACAACTGAAGTCATGGTGGAGTCAGCATTCTGACTTTAAAACCCAGCACACAGGTCCCAATACCTGCCAAAATGGAAACAAAGAACTAGTCCATAAAAAAGTCTAATCTATAGTTACAGGAAAGGCCCTGCACTTGGTATAGTATGTCAACCTGACACAAGCTAGAGTTATCTGAAAAGAAGGAACCTCAATTGAGAAAATGCCTCCATAAAATAAAGCTGCAAAATTTTCTTATTAGTGATTGATGGGGAAGAGCCCAGCCTTTTGTGAGTCATGTTATCCCTAGACCTGTGGTCCTGGGTTCTACAAGAAAGCAGGCTGAGCAAGCCATGAGGAGCAAACCAGTAGGTAGCACCCCTTCATGACTTCTGTACTAGCTTCTGCCTCAAGGATGCTGCTCTGTTGTGTTCTTGTCATGAATTCCTTCAATAATTAACAGCAACATAGAAATGTAAGCCAAATAAAACCCTGTCCACCTCAGCTTACTTTTTGGTCATGGTGTTTTGTCACAGCAATAGAAATCCTAATTAAGACAGTCCCTAAATGTACTAACCTTGTTTTTTTTTTTTTTTTTTTTTGGCTTCTGCAGTTCCGCTTCATGCTAACTAAAGTGTGACAATCAGGATGTAGATACTGTGCATAAAATACAAAAGGATGTAAGGTTCAGGGCTGCATGATTTGGGCAAGTTCTCCATCAGCCAGCAATAAATACTGGTTTTGACTTTAAAAATGTCTGTGTGGTGGTTTCTGGAGGGCTTACCTCACAGCAAATGATGTATCAATACCAGGTGAGACTGCATTTTGACTGGGAATTATATATGTGCACACACACACACACACACACACACACACACACACACACACACACACATATATATATATATATATATATATATATATATATATATATACTCCCTGACCCTCTACTTAAACCTTCACCCCAAATTAAATACCCCCAGATGGACAGGTGGGGCAGTCACTGGTCCTCTTTATCCCTTTCCTAATTCTGCCAGATTGAATACAGATTTTTCTACCTTTCACTTAAAAATGAAATTCGGTGTTGGATTGTTGATCATGGAACCATTTATTTCTGGTCATGTAGAGCCTGTTTCATAAGAAAAGTACATTCTTTTCTGAACAAACCATGTGGGATATCCATTTCCCACAGTCCCTGCTATGCTAACCATTCAATTATGGGAATTATTCTACTCACAGGACAAGAACTGGACAAGACAAAAGACACACAAGGGTGGGCAAGGCAGCCAATCCATGAACTAGCCAGTGCCCTGTTATTGAACAAAGGAATCTGATACTCAAAGCCAGGCAGGGTGACAGATTAGAGGGTACATGCCAAAGTAATGAATTACATACAATGCAGAAGCAAAAAAATAGGGAACAAGGAGAGCCATATGACTGCAAGAGTAAGTTGCAGCATATATGAAATATAAAGTGGGGCCACTATTACAAAGTGAATGATATCAAAGAGAGAGACCAACACAGAGACAGCAACTGGTCACTAAATAGTCTTGATATTGAAAGGCTCATTAGCTTTCTGGACCTCAGTCTGGTTCTTGTCTACATGTATCTCCATCTTAAACTTTCCACCAATGCTGGTCAGAATGGCTCCCATCCCTTTCGAAGCATGGTGCTAATGTGTTTTGAACGAAACACACCTCTGGAGGCCTGCTTTAAAGCTGAGAGAGATATTTTATCATTTGAAGGGGACAAAAGGAAGGCTGTTCCTCTAAGTGGTCTAGCACGGTGCTTCCGAATGGCTTGGGAGGTCAGACTCTGACCCAACTCTCATTGGGAACATACAATACTGAGGGAACCAAATGAATTACTTAGCATACTTATCCCATGAGATGCTAAGCCTACTTTCTTGATCTCTCTGAAGCCTACTTAGTGTTTGATTCAGAAAACTATGGAAAACAATTTGTGTTCTTTCTGCTATGTGCCTCCATCTCCCTTACACACAAGTTCTCGTCACTGTTTATACCCTTATGTGACTCTTTATAATCGACATGTTTCAGAATTTGATGTTCTCTTTATTATATTCCCCAACAAACTTGACAATACAATATTTTTCTGCTACCTTCTTCATGCTTCTTATCTTGATAGATAAGTTTTTCTTATTTTTGTCCCAAATTAATAGCAGTTTTGATTTTACCTTGCCATGAGAGCAATATAGACTTATTAATGATAATATGAAATCTATAAAATAAATGAGAGAAGGAACAATATTCCCAACTAGAAATAATCAGTATTAACATTATAACATGCTCTATCTGACTTGTTTTTCTAAAATTACATTTATTCTTAAATTATTTGATATTTTTGTGCAACATTGTCTCATGGATATTTCAAAGTGTCATGAAATGTCTTCAACCATTAAGTTGCTTTTGAATGGCATACAAGTTGAGAAGATGAATTTCTCTGTTGATCATGAAGTTGAGGACAACAAGCATCACAGTTTCCCAGTCTTGGAATCTGCAGGGTGCAGAGGGGAAGAATATCAGGTGACATGGTGACTCAGGAGCTAAGAAGGACTTACACTACCTCTTGCCTACTTTCAATGAATCCCAAACAACCAATGACTGTATGTCAGCTCCAGCAAGTTTCCCAGCATCCGGGGCTTCAGCGTCCTCATCTCTGAAACAATAAGGAAAGTATTTTCTCCATAGCTAATGGAGAATTGAATCAAGTAACCTCTGAAAAACGCTCAACAAAATTGCCTGATTTGTCAAGTCATAATCACTGTGATATGCTGTAAAAAGAACACTGATCTCTTTCCTAAGTTTGACTTTTAGTTAATGGATGCCTTTAGTCAAATCGTTAGCTTTTTCTTGTCTACATTAAACTCAATATAGGAACAAGAGGACCTACCTTGACCGAGGGTTTAGAGGTAGAAGAGCGTAGGTACAGTGTGGTGTGCTGAAGAGTATCTAATTGTGTCTCTGTTGTTGTAATAAATATCCTGTTAAAAGGAGAGAAGAGGGTGTGTTTGGCTTAAATCTCCAGGTAGCCAGCCCATCATTTCAGGGAAATCACACCAGCAAGGCACAACTATAACAAGACACCAGATAAAGTAAATGCATTCACACTTACTGTTCAGTGCACATCCTCTAACTCTTACTCAGTTCAGACCCATTCTCAAGGCTGCATCTTCCCATCTGATCAAGACAAAGTGATCACAGGCTAACCTGATCTAGATAATTCCTGACTGAGACTCTCGTCCTACACTATGACGGATGACATTAAAAGCAATCATCATGAGGAGTGTTTCCTAAAGAGTTAGGTGCAAGTGCCAATACCTATATCTGTGAATATGGTCTCATTTAGCAAAAGTTATTTTGCCAAAGCAATATGGTAAGAATCTCATAATGAGATCATCCTGGGTTTATAGTGGAGCCTGTGTTCCACAGCAGACAGCTTTGCAAGTGCAACAGGCAAAAGGCTGTTTGACAAGACACAGAGAAGACGATTATTAAGTTAGAGACAGAGGTGGAGTCTAGGTAGCTACAAGAGTAGGTATGCATGGAGCCACCAAAAGTAGGATGAAGCAAAGAATGATCTCCTGGAGCTTTTGTAGGGAGCTCAGCCCTATTATCAACTTGATTCCTTAACTCTGTAAGTATAAGGAGTTATATCTTTGATGCTTTGTGTTTTTCTGTAATTTGTGAAGAAGTCCCCGAGAGATGAACGCACACATAGAAAAGAATCCCTTAGCCACCACATTATGTTCTGCATCTCCCGATAGGTCCTGATATACGCAGGAATGGAAGGTTTGGTATCACATATGACCAAGTGAATGAGTCTGTCTAATGATGACCATCAGTGTCCAGAGATCTACTTGGTGATGACTCTGACATTCTTCAGTTTCAGCTCTACAGGTGTTAAAAGTAATCTTTTGCTAGGTGACTATTATCATCCTTCTTGTCTTCCTTTTAGTTATATATAGTAAGAGGAAACCCCAGTAGCTACAATAAACTTGTGTTGCTTCATCTTTAAGCTCATCTCACATCTCTGCTGTTAGGGCACGAATGGCCTTCTTTTCAGGAGGGAATGGGCATATTTAACTGTGTGCACACCTGCCCTCATCTGCCCCACTTCATGTTCTTGCATCTTGCTCTTAGATGACTTCCGGAGGTTCCTTCCCTGACGTAGGTTCCTGTGATCTCAGCACTGGATGCAGGGCACTTGCCTGGGGCTTGCTATCTGAAACCATTTTATCTATATCTCTAAATGCTTGCTCCACTGTGTTCTTAATCCAGCTCATGTCTGACCCTCACTTAACACCATATTCTTTCTTTCTTTCTTTCTTTCCCTACAACTGGAAGTGCTCTCCAAACCTCATGGCAGTGTACCAGGAATTCCTGTGTGGTTAGTAACATGACAGTTTTGATATGAACTCTCATCCCATAAGATAACTGAGAAAACCACAAAAGCAGAGTGGTGTTTCATTGTGTCCTTATTCACTGTAGTTTTTAATGATCACTTGCTATGCAGAGCTTGTCTTTCCCGAGTCATCTTTCCCGAGTCAAACTACTGACTTTGCTACTGCTTGTGAAGTAAACACAGTGATTCTGCATTCCTAATTCACATCTGTTGAACTGGACTATAATTCCTGGGGAGGTATACGAAGTAGATAGATATTGGTAGGTGACTCAGCCCTCAGCTCTATATATTAGAAATTTCCTTAATAAAAAATATACTCATTTATTCCCATATACACACATACACATGCATATATAAATACATGTACACATGCACATAAGTAGACATGCATACGTGCTCACAAATATGAACACATGTGAATGCACAATTGTATACACACCTATGCACACACATATACATATACATACGTGATTTTACACGTGCACACATACCCATGAATGCATATATACATACACATGCATACATGTTCACAATATAAACACAAGTGTACATACACACATCACACACAAACACACACATCTATTAAAGGCAGTGGATGCATCTTTTACTTGCAGTCTTGTGTTGTGTGAAGACACACATCTAATCATAAAAACCCAGTTTTAGGATGTTTGCCTTCAGCCATAAGATAATGCTTCCTGTATATCTAGTCCTCTGTCCTTGAAGACACATCTGCTCCTCAGTGTATTGAATTGTGGAAAAAAAGTCAACTTTATGAAGGCTTATCAGCTAGCATGCCATCAGGCCACAAAAGGATAATTGAATTCACCTAGAAGGTAGTAGAATGTCTCATGCTGCTGAACCTGCTTTCAGGATTTAGCACACAGAGGCTCTGCATTTGAGAAAGACCAGGGCTAATTATCATAAGCTAATTTTTATTGTGTGTAAAAGAAAGAAATCTAGTTTGCAGAACATTCCAGAAACTAAGCAAGTTCATCGTGAGTGTCTTAAACAGAACTAAGTTTAATTGGATTCTGTGGTCTGAGTAGACTACCTCTGATGGAGACACCAGGAAAGGCAATGAGAAACATGCCTGGTGTTCTCAGCAACTGAAAGACAGGAGACAGGATGATCCCCAAAGTTGTGATTTTTCTCCCCTTCATAGAAGAAGGAATCAGGAAGCACAGGAGATCATCACAGAGGGGATAATGTGTGTGTGAATGGAAGAATTGTCCGTAAAGTTACATTTCAATTCCCACAAACTACAGGGAAACATCATGTCAATAATCCAAACAAGGTTGGACTTAGAGATGCACAGCTTTGTAGTCAGGCAGTCAGCCACCCACCCCAGGGTCAGGATACAAGAGAGGAGCACCATTCTTAAGATTGGAGCTGGACCAGAGCAGAGCAGCAAGGACACTGGAAAGGGTAAATGGGTGACTGTCACACTGTATCTGCTATAAACATACAGTAGTTGAATGCATGAAGAGGGCATAGTTTCTTCCATAAACTCTCCTATCTTTACGAAATTCTAAACCAACAACTTCCTTTGACATACCAAAGAAAGAAGCCTTCTAGAAATTTAGTGAAACTCCTGGTGACTAGCTGGCATTATCTAGACAGAATATAGTCACTGAATGACAGAAGGGAGAAATAGGATGATAATATAGCAAATGCATTATTCAAAGGCCAGAATTCAGATCATTTGATGTGCTGTCTGACACAATCACAGGAATGCTGGGAGAGAGCGGATTCAGCTTCCAACTGCACATGAATAATTTGAGAGGCATAGAAGATAATGTGCCACAGCCATGAAATTGGTAATCAGTCTTACTAGGATTCAAACTCAGGGCACTTTTAATTTTAAAACTCCAATTCTTGCCTCAACTTCTGGCTTGAATACACAGAGATGTCCTGATACCATGTGGATAAAATCATTAGCCAGTGACTTCATTTCTTACTATTACTATGGCCAATTATCATGAGTGAGACAGACATTTCCCCTCTCACAGTGTGGAGATAGGAAGTCCCAAGTGAATCACAGGGGTGGGCTCCTTCTGAAGGCTCCAGACACTAATCTATGGCCATGCCTTTGTTAGCTTCTGTAAGCCATTTTTGCTTCCCAGCACACAGGCCCTTGCTCCTACCTCTTCATGACTCGTCACTCCAGTCTCTACTAATTGTTTTCACATCTTTTAACTGGCAAATTGTCTCCTATCTTCTCACAAGGATCCTCATGATTCCTTGGAGCTCACCTATATCAGCCTCTCTTAAACTCTTTAGTCACAGTTCTGAAGGCCCTCTTATTGTGTGGCATAAGGTGCAGGTTCTTGGGATTAGGACATGGCAGTCTTTGGAGGACCATCATGAGCCAACCAATGAATCTTTATAGACTGCAATGGCAGGTGATTTTTAGAACTTTTGATTTTTTTAATACAGGCAGAGTTTAAAGTCTTCAACATCAGTGAGATGCCATGGTCCCTTCCTGGTTCAGAGCCCACTGGTGTAAGATAAAGCTTGAAGTTCAATAATGGCACCAACAAAATACTGAAATAATCAATGGGATAGTCAAAGCAAATAATAGCAAGCAATGGATCCTGAATGCTAGTAGCTTCCAGATAGATGGTCAGAAGCCCTGCCTCAGTGGAGAAGGTCCTGAAGAATCCGTGTTTGAATAAATAGTTGATCAAAGATATAGGGACTTCAGCCCTTGTCTTGGGGAAGATCTTTTTTTTTCAAAGTTCTAAAAATTACACCAACCATTCTTATAAAACTAACATAACAAGTGAAGTTATGCTGTCTGAGAATGTTTTTCTTCTCCTACCCTCAAGTGCCCATCTCCAGTCAGCACTAAGTACCTCAGCTGTCCTGAATCTCTGTTTCATCATCTGAATACTAGGAAGATTAAAATCGTCTGAGTTTCTTTTCAGTTGATATAGTAAAATGCCCTGATCTCTCAAATAATAAAAGTATGGAAGAATGAGTTCCGTTCTGCCTATACTTCCAAGTTGCTAGCCATCATAGCTGCAAAGACACAAAGGCAATTGTGGTCACATCACTTTCACAGTCAAGAATCAGAGAGCAACAAAAATCTGCACCTACTCAGTTTTCCATTTACAATGTCCAGGATCCCAGCCAGAGTATGTGTCACACACAGTGGGCAGGTCTCCATGCCTCAGTTAATTCGGTAAGGATAGTCCCCCATAAGTCTTCTCAGAGGCTCATCTCCCGGTGATGCTAGACTATCAAGCTGACAAATACTGTTTGCTTGACACAAAGAGCTTGCCCTCAAACCCTGTGAGTGGCTGAAAACCATTTTAACCTCCTTTAGTTCAATGATGTATCTCTCTTCCTTCACAGACTACTTGCATAGCCCATGGATGTTTCTGGTGGCTTTCTTTGTTCCTCACTGAAAGGAGGAATAATAACTATTTATCTAATTAGGTGACAAGAATATAATTTTAAAATATCCCTGTGGTCTACATGCTACCAGGTTGCAAACATAGGTTAAATATTTGTTTTAATTATATATTCATATCAGAGGTATGTGCCCTCAAGTGTACATGCAAGAGATGCCAAATGCAGTGATCTGAAGATACAGGTGGTGGTATACTGCCTGATATGGGTGCAGGGAACTGAACTCCAGTCCTTCAGAAAAGCATTAAATATCTGCTCTCAACCATAGAGCTATCTCTCTAGTGCAAACAACCTATAGTATATGATACACAAACAACTCATTTTCCTTTTCTGCTGTGTTGCAGTGTTTACTAATGAAAACACTATGGGAAAGCCACTCTGCAGAGACACTTGCCTATGTGTTCAGGTCCTCTCTGCTTCGATAATAGCTTTATTCTTGTCTCCTCTTGTCCAGTTCTTCCTGTGACATGCATGCCTGGCTCTTCTCCTGCCTCTCTCAGCAGCCTTCCTGAACTCCACAACTATATCATAGTTCCCAGTGCGTAGATACTCCTGCATTTTTGTGAATAAGTTATCTGCACTGTAATGAGCAAAGTTCACATCACAACTCTTCATTCCTGGAGCCTTTGGGATTTCTTTCTAAATGAGGCACTTCTCTCTTTTCCCTTTTCTTATTGGGAAATAGCAGAATTCCTGGAGAATCATAAAACAGCATAGACCATGTGCCTGGGGATGAGTGGGACATTTCTACAACTGTCATTGATCTTTTTTTAGCATGGCCAGGAAACGGGAAAGGGTACTTTAGCATTCCTAGTCAGCCATGGGAATCATGCACCTTGTGACCTGAATGAAATTGGGAGCTGATAGCTGGAAACTCGGAAGAGCAAGGGGATGGTGCAACCACCTCTGCCTAAAGGGTTTTTTAAAAAGCTAAAATTGGAAGCACTTGAATCTGAATTGAAACCTCTGCCTTTAGCACATGCTGGAGAAGTCAAATTATTCCAGCTCCACTCTCTAAAGCCTATTTCAGAAAAAGTGGAAAGAACAATAATTTATACTTTTTAGAACTTCTAGAAATATTAAACAATACAGCAAAATTACAGTAGGACCTAATTCATTTATCTAATATCATTCATTATCATCATCACTAAACTGGTATTAAAATAACATTTTACTCTATACATTGGCATGTTTAATTATTTACAGAATCTGGATTGATATGAAAATACAATTCTAAACACCAAAACCATTCTCTTGAATTTTTCCAGTTTATATTTTTTCCACTACAGTATGCCATGAAGTAACAGCCATTATTGAAAATTATTCTTAAAATATCAGGGACACATTTTAATATATATTAACAGAATGACTTTGTAGCATTCCACCGAAAATAAACTAATTGGAAAGAAGGAAAAAACATGAAAAGAAATACTTCCTTCAAACATGACATGAAAAGAGAACTGGTCTTCAAATATTTATGTGGTTCTGGCCCCAGAGCTTTCCACATTTTCATCTCAATTTGGTAGCCTCAGGAAGATAGGGGAGGGCACCTTCTGCTATGCTAAGGGATGGGGAGGGGAGCAGATGTCATCTTACAGGTATACTCAGCTCCTGTCTCCGAGTGTTAGATCATGGGTGGATGGGAAGTAAAATGTTTATGAGCTTAGAAAGATTAAAAATTACATTTGAAAAAGTGAAAGAGAGACTTGGGTGTCATGATAATCCTGGCATATTGTTTCAAATGCCACAGAATGCCTTTGTCCAGAGTATATAACAGGAGCCATTGTTAGATTAAGACTCATGAAGGCTCCCTTGAGCTCACCACAGGAGCAGGGACTCTGTCTCCATGCCCCACCAGCAAGCTGATGTCTTTGGACTGGCTCAATTCCTTGTGTTTGTATTCTCATGTGACATGCCTAGCAGGGGTGATAGACCCAGCTAGGGACAGCTGGCTGTTCCCCGAGTTAGTCAGGAGCATAAAAGGGCAGATTCTAGTCACATAGGTGTGACTATGAGGTCAGGAGGCAGGTTCTGGAATTCAGAGCTGATATGTATATTCTCTTTTCTACTCTGACTTCTCCTGAAGGGCCCCCAAGGGACTGGAGGAAGACTTGACTGAAGGGTTCTGCCATTTGAGTAGTAATATCCTTGACATAGAAATGGAAAAAGACCAGAACAGGACCCCCAAAGATATAGTAAACAGCTAATGGCTTAAGTGAAATCAGATAAATGGATAAAATATGGAAAATTTCCTGTATATTATCCAGGCTAACACACATCAGATAGCAAAGCTTGAGATTCAGAAAGAAATGAAGAAAAGGGAAGCTGAACCAACTCAAGTGACTCACAGACACTGAAGACAACTGCCACCCATCATGTACCTTAAGTCCTAATGGTGCCCCACAGAAAGAGGGTAAATGCTTTTTATTTTATTATTTTAATTTTAAATAGCTTGTTTGACATGTCAATCCCAGTTCTCTCTCCCTCCCCCCCTCCAGAATCCCCCCACCATCCCCCCCAGCCTCCCACCCTATCACCACATCCTTCCACATAGGGGATATCTAGAGTCTGTCATTTCACTCAGGACAGGGTCCAGGCACTCCCTTAAGAGACCAGGCTGAGAGAGCATCCCTCTTTGTGTTACGAACACACGAAGTCCGTTTGTATGCCAGGGATAAACACTCATCCACTGCCCAGGGCCCCATAGGTTGCCCAGGCCTCCTCACTGACTCTCAGGCTCAGGGGGTCTGGATCAGTCCCATGCTGGCCTCCCAACTGTTGGTCTGGGGTCCAAGAGCTCTCCCCTGTGTGGATCAGCTGTCTCTGCTGGTTTTGCCAACCCATTTTTTGCCAATTTTCTCATTGCTCCTCTCTCTCTGTCACTGGGTTCCTTGGGTTCTGTTCAGTATTTAACTGTGGGTGTTTGCCTCTGCTTCCATCAGTCACTGGATGAAGGCTCCAGGATGGTTATAGACATCAAGTTCATTATCAGGAATGGGCATTCAAGGTGGTCTCTCCACTATTGCTTAGCTTGCCAGTTGGTGTCATCCCTTTAGATCACTAGAGGTCTCACTGGTGCCAGATCTGTCTTCTAACCTATGATTCCCTCTTCCCCCTATTCTACCCCCCACTCAACCTTCCTGTTCCCTCCTGACCTACTCTCTCTTCCTCTTCTCCCCCTCTCTTCTTCCCAGCTCCCACTCCCCCCACCCCTCACTGTGTTCCCCATCTGTTCAGAAGATCTTACCTCATTCCTCTTCTCTGGGGTACCATGTATATCTCTCCTAGGTTCTTTCCTGTTTCCCAGCCTCTCTGTCAGTGGAAGCGCAGACTGGCACTATCGTGATCCATGAAGGAGTGTTGTATAGGACACTCAGATCCTACTCAAGGCCTTGCCACTTGTCCTGTCCTTTGGTTGAAGTGGCATTAAAGCTTATACTGTTCTCATGATATTTTCATTTTTCTGAGTTATATTTTATATACAATTAAGTCATGCAGATCCTAATGGTAAAATTCTTTGACAAAATCATTCACACAAATTTCCCTACCATATTGCAAGTTATTCACATCACTCTAGGTTACACCCCATAATCTCATAGCAAACCCTGCTCTGGTTTCTTTTAGTTCTAATAAATATACACATGTTTTATTTCTGCTTTTGGAAAAGTCTTATTTAGCTCAATATTTTCTGACTACTATCATGTTAATATTTCCATAAAAAATACATGTGTTACTTAAAGGATTAGAGAACAGGAAACATTAGGCTTTAGTAAGGAAAAGACAATGGAGAAATGCTTTTTTTAATTTTGAAAGAAAAGTATTCTTGAATCATAATTTTATACCCAGTCCTAATATCAAGTGACAATATTTCCGAAGGTAAAAGTAGACTAAATATATTTTGGATAAGTAAGAACCAAGATCTGAAGAATGTTACAATATGCAAGCCAAAACAAGGCTGTGAAAGATTTAATTGTACAATGCCTATAAGACCAAAAGTATACATAATAAAAAGGAGACAGTGATAATCCTAGGGAAATTGTCAAAGGGAAATGAGTAAGAAATTAATAATCAAAGTAAAAATGTTGTATAATACCGTATATTGTAAGTGAATTCAAAGACGGTCATAATTTTGGGAGACACTTGTGGATGCATTTGTGAAACTTTTAAGAATGAGTGAACAAATGAGCCCATAAAATATTGCACTAGGAAATAAATTAACCATAGTTAACAAAATGGAACAACAATCAACGTATGTACATGGTTGTGGCAAGCTGATATTAAGTAATGATACCATTATTTTTTTATTTTACTGCATTTTATAATGGAAATTCAGTATCTTAAATATATATATATACATTTAAAACAAGGATTGAAAGTGAGCTTATGGCAGATTCAAAGGAAGATCATTTAAAAATCAAACTCTCATTTTCTATACTAAAATCATATTGTATAGTGCTTAAATTGTAAAACCCAATAGTTATATACATATAAAGGGAAAGTTGGAAACATGTATTGTGGAAAATAATTAAAGGTGATCAGGGACAAGCTTTCCATAACAGTAATTACATAATGATAGTCCGTTTTATATATAGGAATATAATATTTTTTCCAGTTTAAATTTAGATAAGAAACAAGGTTGCTTCAGGAATATAATATTTTTTTAATTTGACATTTTGAGCCCTTTGTTTACTTATTTACTGATTATTATTTGTGTGCATGTATGCATGCTCTTCTATGTATTTTTTTTACTCCACAGGAATGCAGATACTCGTGGAGGCCAGAAGACAACATTGGATCTTGGAACTGAAGTCACAGGCAATTGTGAGCTACCTGATGTGGGCGCTGGGATTCAAACCAGGGTCTTCTGGAGAAGCAGTAAGCACTCTTATGTACTGAGACAACTCTCTACACTTTAAATTTTAAAGAAAGTATCCTAAGTTTAACCCAGAGCACCTGTTTAAATGAAAATGCCTCCAGTGACTAGCTGAGCTATTAGATTTCAATTCTGTAAGGTAAGGACAGGTGAGCCAATTGGTAGTTTTATAAGGATGCGCAGAGGGTGTTATCTCATTGCTAAGACTCAGACAGCAGGAGATTTGATTAAGTATTTCTCAGTGATTACCTGACTGGGAACCATGTGTTCTATCCCCAGGACTGGATTACTGACTCACACAGTAATCTCAAACTCTTGTCTCTAGCCTCTGGAATTTAACACTTGAAGATTCACTGGATCATTTGCTCCTAAAGTTCGCTGAGCACCAGCTGCAAACCCAGGTTCACATTTGGTTTCAGTCCTCATCCTCCATCAACTAGTAACCTGGAAATTTTCCTGAGAATCACTCCGCTGCTGTTTACAAACTTTCTGAAAAGAGGCGAGTTGATTTCTCCTGAATACCAAACCTCTGCTCTGAACCTGCCACTTGGCGGGCATTCAATAATCAGAGCTCCCGCTCCCTCTACAAATCAGCCTCATCTATGATATAAAATTGCCTTGGCACATTACCGAATCAGACAGTTAAAATAAAAACTCCAGACATTGAATTGGATCCAGCTTCCATTGTACAAACTACCAACAGCTGGTTATTGAGTGGATGGTATGTGCCTGGCATTCCATCAGATGCTGGGAAGAAAAATTAGCATTTCAGGACCAGAGTGAATGCTAGAAAAAGGTCAATGTGACAGAAGGTATTAATGTGAAGACATGTCAGGACCTAAGCATGGTAAAGATGGCCAACACTCTGGAGTATTTCCACTTAGACATGACTATTACATAGAATAAAAAACTGGGATATCTGGGAAATTACAACTTGACTGAAAGCATAGAGACAGTGAAACATATCTCTAAGCAAGCCATGACGGACAATCTATAGGACTGCTTCTGAATAGATTAGGGTTTTTTTAGTGGGCCTCCATTACTAACTGGAATATTTATATTAACCAACTATGACACAGAAATTTAAGATATGAAACATCCAAGAGCAAAGGGCCTCTGTTCATAGCAGAAATCAGATGCCAGGTCCACCACCCTTCAGCCCCAAATAAGCACCCAGAGACATAATAATTATTAAATTGTTGATCAATGGTTATGGCTTCTTAATGGCTATCTCTCTCTTAATTACTAAGCCATAACTGCTAATCTATGTGTTTCTACATGGTCTTATATTACCAGAAAATGCCTGGTGCATCCTATCTTCCTGGTCTCTCCATAGCATCTCTTCGCAGTACCTCCCTGCTTTCCTCCCCAGCAATCTTCTCTTCTGGAGATGCAATCTGAGGACAGGATCGCTCCTTTGATCTGAGCATTGGTAGAAGTGAGAACTCTCTAGTGGCCAGTCGCTTTGCTTCTCTGATCTTTAGACAAGCTTTATTAGATCATAAAGAAAATATCAACACAGGGGGAAAAACCTCACCAATATTGATAATATAATATCTCTGGTATCCTTTTGTTAACCTTTCTACTTGCTGCATGATGTAGAGGAATGACAAGGACTCTCACTGAATGAATGGCCACATTTTAAAAATAAATTAAATAAGTTTTCCACAAAATGTTCAAACACATTATGCATTGCAAGTTGTTTTACTTGAATGTGATGAGTTAGAATTCAAGTGCTGGGTCAGTTGTTTACAAACTTTATAACCTTGAATAATTATTACTTCTTGCTCATTATAAGTTCCTTTATTCTTATTTTAAATGAGATGTAAACCTTCATATTGCTTTCATGATAAGCAATTAGCAAGCAATAGACAAATATTTGGTAAGCAGCCATTTTCTGTATTTCTGCCATGCTGTTTTTACTTTCTTTGATTGAGCATCTCCCCTGTATTTCTTCATATATAAATATATCCCAAAGTAGTTATAACTTGTAGATGTATAAATGCCATCCCTATAGCTCCTAAAGAGTTTATGAAGAGGGAGAAAGAGATGAGAAGGTAAAAGAAAGGAGAAGGTGGAAGGGCAGGAGGAAGAAGACGAACAAGAAAGAAGAAGAGAGAAGAAAGGAAGAATTCAAGTTTTTCTGAGGCTCTTTCCTGAACCAGCCACTGAAATTTAGAATGCAGTCCTCCTTGGCTCGTCGCTGTCAGGCATACATCAAGAAAACAGAATCCTGAGACCAGGAAGTCAGCAAGGCATCCTTCCATAAGACGCTTTGGATATTCTCAAACTATGTCTGTTAGATAGAGCAGTTCTGCAGGAATGGTGTTTGTTCTGAGGAGGCAGTAGGCAGATTGGTGCATGGAGCGCAGGCTTACAGGCAGTGCAAATCCACGTCTATTCCACTTCTAGATTATGCACATTCCTATGGTTTAGCTTGATACCAGGAAACTGTCTGTGTACACTTGGAGGACTTTATTATCACATTCATACTTTGTGCACACAAGAAAGCAAACCCTGTTAAAAAAATAAGAGGGAAGTTACATTTTGAGAAAACAGCCTTGCTGACTCACAAGGCCATGCTGGGATTTATTTTAATATCTCCTGTTCCCAGTGGACATAATTCTATTACGAAGTTCTATTAAGGAAAGACTTCTTAATGGAAGGCAAGATAAGCATCTATGATTCTGCTCATTCAGCTAATATGTATCCTGCATGACCATGTGCCAAAATCATAGTAAGCTTTGGGTCATGGCTTTGTGAAAGCAATCATCCTGTCTAAAGTTGATTAAATGATGTTTTTGTTGAGAGGAAAGATAAGATAGAACGGAGACATCATTGAAAGTTAACAGGGGTAGTACCAACTTACTGTATGTCATTGCAAATAGCCTCTGGACCAGCACTGAACTATGTCCTATCCATAGTTGCTCTCATTTCCTTCATAGGCATCAAGTGAGTATGAGAGCTGTTACAATACATCCTTACACCCCTGTACCCATAGCGGAGGACGTGTTTGTTATGTGTCCAATGGAATATAGATTTTAATTGGTACAAAATCTATTCAAGAGCAAAGATTAACACCATTAGGGTTACTCATGGCAGTACATGGGGCAACATGATTTAAGAACTATGAGAGCCAAAGGTAACCACGGGCAGGACATTGAAATGAGATATTTTTGGTTTCAAAGAGAGTCATATAGAATATGAAAAATAATTGGTAAACACGATAGCCAGGAAAGGCAGCATAAACCAGCTGAGTTACATAAGACTATCATCTGTGAAGTTAAAGAGCCCTCTGGATATGATAAAACCTGAAATCTGGTGATTTCACTACTGTCTCAGCTGTGTCTCCTTTGTCATAATGCAGTCCTGAACACCTGTCAATGTATAATGGACTTTTCAGAATCCAAACAAAAACTTTACTTTGCCCATATGTGAAGACTTGAGAACAATTAGGTTAGTAAAATGTCCTTGTGTAAAGGAACTCTGATGTCAACTTTTAGGGGAGAAAAGGAGTATTCTTCACATCCAAAAAGATCCACCTGGTAATATAAAGCACAAAGATTCATTCTTTCATTTATTCTCAGTAGATGTTCTATGAGCATATACCTTGCATCAAGTTTGCTTAAATATTTAATATACTGCAAGTACTAAGGCATGGAATTGATGAAATGCCTTGTCTATGATATTCCACAGGCAAGAGTGAATTGCAAAATATGTTAAAATTAGGAAAAAATATTTCATATGGTGCAAGAACTTGAGAAAGTAAGAACAAGCAATTAGACAATTGACAGTAGGAGATAAATTGCTTTCTGCACACGCTTGGTCAAATTTTCTTTGTTTCTTTTCTCTTTTTTTCTTTTTTACTATTTTTGGATGGGGAGTGTTTTGAGACAGGGTTTCTCTGTATTGCCTTGGAACTTGTCCTGGAATTAATTCACTCTGTAGATCAGGCTGGCCTTGAACTCACAGAGATCAGCCTGCCTTTGCCTCCTGAGTGCTAGGATTAAAGGCATGCACCACCAACACCAGGATCAGACAAATTTTCTTACAGAAGATGGGCTTGTCGGCTCAATGACTGTAGAAGCCAGCCATGTCACAAAGAAGAGTGAGCTCAAAAGAAAGAGTAAAGCTAAATGCTTGGGAGATAAGACCATCGGGGCATATGCACTAAGGGGATGGAGGCAGTTATGGGTGCATACTGTTGAAAAGAATATGAACTTTTAGAAAAAGACTCTGAACTTTATTTGGGAGGGAAAATTACTATCTTGTAATTTCCAGTGGAGGGTTCCAAGACCATTGGCACTCATTCATGAATTCAGCTCTGTTCAAGCTCATGGGTCACAAAAGTAAACAAAGACATGAATGTGGGGAATTGACTGGGGAACACAGGAATGACAGTGAGGGTAAAAGATGGTTGGTAAGAGTAATCAGAATGTATTCTGTACTTCTGTACCTTTATGAAGTTATCAAGGATAACTTATTTCAAATAGATCAACTACTAGATCCTGAGTTTCAAGGGCAATGTGCATGGTTCATACTTTGTTCTGAGAACTAAGAGGAAGCATTTGGAATATTTTAACCATTGTGAGGCAATGATAGCCATCTACTTGATACTGAAAACAAGACATGTAGTGGTAGATTTTAGGGAGAAATATACATCAGAAATCTATTTTATTTGTTCAAATCTTTAAACAGCATTGGTCTGGACAAGGGTAGATTAGCACAGATGAGACAGCATGAATCAATTCATGATAGATTTTGGAGCAATGAAGAAATCTATCTCAGAATAACTCCTGTGTGTTTGCCTTGAGTACCATGTAGTGGTCCTTGCTCAGGACACTAGTAGAGATTGGCCATCTTAGAGAAAAGGCCTTCTGTAATCTGTAGTAAATTTATTTAGCCTATGGGATTTCTCAAAGCTAAATATACAAACTGTGAGTTCCCAGCTTCTTGGTGTTATTTAAAACCATGGGTGGAGGTGAGATCACCTAGGGAAGAGATTACATAGGAGAGAAGTCAGGAAGATGCCCTGGGTGCTCAGTGGGGGGAGAAATGAAAAGCAACAGATTCCCCCATTAGGTTCCACCAGGGAAAATACATTATTAAAGTTAAGGGGAAATGCTTCTTTAAAAGCTCCTCTTTCATCATTCAAGAAAACAGTTCAGCTATGTTATAAGAGAAAATAGAGTGTGACAGAGAGAAGAAATGAACTATATATAGAAGAGGCAAGCACATGGGAGAGATAGGAAATGAACTGTTAGAGAACAGCGCATGGTAGAAAGGAAGTGTCCAGGGGAAACCACCCCAATGAGAAGATAAGCAGATATGTAGGGGAAGGACCTCTTCTTCACAACCAAATTCTCTTTTAAACTTTATTTTCAGAATTGCTCAGAAAAGGAAATATTTCTCTTCCTCTAGCTTCCTCTGAATACAGCATCCAAACATTGACAGGAACAGATACACAGCATGTTTGTACACACACACACACACACACACACACACACACACACACACACACACACACGAGACCAATATCAGAGAACATGAGCTCTTAGAGCAATCAAAGGCTTTGCAGCAACTTTGAGGTAGCCAGGAAAGAGCCACAAAATCAAAGTGGGAAACAGTTGTGAGTAAGAGAGATACTATCAAAAAGAGCAAGAACAAC